TCTTCTAATATATACTTATAATATGAGTTTCAAAGCATTTCATCAATAATTTAAGTAGTTACGTCTGTATCAATTATATTGGACATTTCTTGTGTTGCACGTGCGAGCTCTTGCAATCACATGTGCATGCACATGCTTTCATGATAAATCTTATAATACAGGCTGTAGATCTCCCTAATATAAGACTATGTTCAAAATTTCAAATGATTTTATCAAAAAACAAAAAAGATATTGAGACTTTAGTTTCAGCCAATCAGAGCGAAGCGCACGTGCATGCGCGTGCGATCTTGCTATTTTGACCATGTCATCTTGTGCTTACTACTAATATATCCTTACATTATAAGTTTCAAAACATTTCGTCACAAAATAGAAAAGTTATGGTTATATCCATTTTATATTGGTCATTTTAAGTTTTGCACGTGCGCGCTCTTGCAAGCACGTGCGCGCAAAATGACCTTGATTCCGCAAATCTACATAACATGCCTACTTACCCTAAAAAGGTTTCACCTAAGTCGGATGTGTAGTTTACAAGATCACTCGCGGACAAAATTTTCCCAGGAAGAAAAATAATAATAATAATAAGAACTAGGGCTAATTGTAACTGGGACCGTTACAGATGTTCCCCAAACGCTCCCCAACTCCCTTTTTGTGCCATATTCCCTGTATGCGCTATTAAAAAAGACACACTTTATGCAATTTAGACTTAAACAACGTTTTCCCTGAAGAATACAAAATATATTTAAATTTTAACATTGCACGCGTGCTCATCTGAATGCATGTGCGTAATGACCATATCATCTTGTCTACACTATTTATATATTTTATTATACTTAATATCAAATCAATTTATCCAGAAGTATTAAAAAATACACTCATTTAAGCGTATTTCTAATATTACTCATTTCACGTGCACGCACGTGCATGAGGACTTAACTTTCTTGTAGGAGTCTATTTTGTCTGTGTTCTAAATCCCATCCTGTTTGGTTGAAAAACAAGGGAGTTATAGCCATTTATAGGTTTAGCCAATAAGATTGCAGCACACGTGCATGCGCGTGTTTTCACGACAATTGTTTTATATCATATTGTATTACATACTAAAGTATTTCCAAATTTTAGATTTCATAGCATTTCTTCTAAAAACAAAAAAGATTTTGAGATTTTTGTTTCAGCCAATCAGAACGAAGCGCACGTGCACGTACGTGCATGTATGTGCATGATGACCATACCTTCTTGTAGGAGTCTATTATACCTGTCTATGTTCTAAATCCCATCCTGTTTGAGTGAAAAACAAGGGAGTTATAGCCATTTAAAGTTTTAGCCAATCAGATTGCAGCGCACGTGCATGCGCGTGTTTTCATGACAATTTTTAAATATCATATTGTAGAACATCCTAAAGTATGCCTATATTTTAAATTTCATATTATTTCGTCAAAAAACAGAAAAGATATTGAGATTTTTGTTTCAGCCAATCAGACGAAGCGCACGTGCATGCGCGTGAGTTCGTGCTAATTTGACGGTGTCATATTATCTACACTATTAATATATCTTTATATAATGAGTTTCAAATCATTTCATTAAAAAATGTAAAAGTTATAGCTATATTAAGTATATCGGTCATTTCACTCATATCACGCGCACGCACGTGCAGGCGTATGCGCGCAAAATGACCTTCGTTCCGCACACCTACACTACACACCTATTAACCCTAAAAAGGTTTTAGCTCAGTTGGGTGAACAGTTTCTGAGAACACTCGCGGACAAAAAAGTACCGGAGAACAAAGAAGAAAAAAAAGAATAATAATAATAATAGTAAGAAACCGAGTAAAAACAATATGTTCCCAAACTCCGTTTGGGGAACATAATAATAATAACTAGTGCTAATTGTAACGGGAACCGTTACAGATGTTCCCCAAACGCTCCCCAACTCCTCTTTGGTGCCATATTCCCTGTAAGCTTCATTAAATAAGACAAACTCTGTGCATTTTTTACTTTAACAACGTTTTCTCAGAAGAATACCGATTATATTCAAATTTTAGCATTGCACCCGTGCGCATGTGAATGCATGTGCGTTATGATCATATCATCTTGTCTACGCTATCTACATATCTTAATATACAATATATTAAAGCATTCAGTCCAAAAGTATGAAAAATCACTCTTTCAAACGTATTTTTCATTTCACTCGTTCCATATGCACGTACGTGCGTACACGTGCATGATGACCATACCTTCTTGTAGGAGTCCCTTATATCTATCTATTTTCTAAATCCCATCGTGTTTTGTTGACAAACAAGGGAGTTATAGCCATTTCAAGTTTAGGCCAATCAGATTGCAGCACACGTGCATGCGCGTGATTTCATGGTTTTTTTCTACATCATATTGTAGTATATACTAATGCATGACAATGTTTTAAATTTCAAAGCATTTCGTCAAAAAACAAAGGAGATATAGCCATTTAAAGTTTCAGCCAATCAGATTGCAGCACGCGGGCATGCGCATGCTTTCATGAAAATTTTTATATATCACGCCGTAGATCTTCATAATGTAGGTCTATGTTCAAAATTTCAAAGGATTATGACAGGAAACAAAAAAGATATTGAGACTTTAGTTTCAGCCAATCAGAGCGAAGCGCACGTGCATGCGCGTGAGATCTTACTTTTTTGACCATGTCATTTTGTCTTTCCTTCTAATATATACTTATAATATGAATTTCAAAGCATTTCATCAATAATTTAAATAGTTATGTCTGTATCAATTATATTGGACATTTATCGTGTTGCACGTGCGAGCTCTTGCAATCACATGTGCATGCACATGCTTTCATGATAAATCTTATATTACAGGCTGTAGATCTCCCTAATGTATGACTATGTTCGAAATTTCAAATGATTTTATCAAAAAACAAAAAAGATATTGAGACTTTAGTTTCAGCCAATCAAAGCGAAGCGCACGTGCATGCGCATGCGATCTTGCTATTTTGACCATGTCATCTTGTGCATACTACTAATATATCCTTACATTATAAGTTTCAAAATATTTCGTCACAAAATAGAAAAGTTGCGGTTATATCCATTATATATTGGTCATTTTAAGTTTTGCACGTGCGCGCTCTTGCAAGCACGTGCGCGCAAAATGACCTTGATTCCGCAAATCTACATAACATGCCTACCTACCCTAAAAAGGTTTCACCTAAGTCGGATGTGTAGTTTACAAGATCACTCGCGGAAAAGATTTTCCCAGGAAGAAAAATAATAATAATAATAATAAGAATAATAATAATAAGAAACAGAGTAAAAACAATATGTTCCCCAACTTCGTTTGGGGAACATAATAAGAAACAGAGTAAAAACAATATGTTCCCCAACTTCGTTTGGGGAACATAACAAGCTAATTCAGAGAATTCGTGTCCCCCGCTTAGGGAAAAAGTCGGCTCCCCCTGACTGAATTTGTAGAATTATTAAATGTATACATGTATACTGAAGCAGATAAAATACATGTATGTCAATATGCATATAAAGATTTGATTGCTTATTCTTTATTATGTGTATAGAAGATTTTTTTATATGGAATGTTTATCACACTGTAATGATTATTTTATAACCTCATAAATTTTTCATTTCACATGCTGAATACTATCATTTAGTAAAAAAAAAAAAAAAAAAGTATTTAAAAAAAAAAAAAAAGAAAGGTTCGACCAAGATTCGATCCCGGGACCTCTCACACTAGAAGCGAGAGACATAACCACTAGACCACGGAATCGCTTTACTCGCGGTGAAGTATATGCAGAATTGAAGTCACATACATGTATATATTCATGTTTTCATGTTCGGTATTCTCAAAATTTTACACAATCTATGGTGTTTGATTTATTTAGCCTTTATTAAACAGTTCTAATAGATGTAATAAGAACATAAAGTCCGCCGAGAACCTGTTTTATACGCAATAACTCTCCTCATGCCCCTGCGCTAAAAATAGCGACATGTAATACTATAAATACTAATAAAACAAACGGGGCGGGGCACTTTGAGAGGGGCGAGAGAGGTCCTAGGGAGTTTTGGTATAAAATTACATTGCATAAGTCAAAATCTTCTTGAAATATCGCCCGGAAATGATAGTATTACATACAGACAGAAATATATAAATTTACGACCTTGAACTTTGACCTTTTGACCTCAAAATCAATAGGGTTCTTCATTAGGCCACAGGGACTTGTTATGTAAAATTTCATTGCAATAGCTCAAATGGTTCTCGAGATATCGTGTGGAAACGAAAGTGTTTTAACAGACAGAATTTGCTTATACATGTATATGACCTTGACCTTTGACCTGTTGACCTCAAAATCAATAGGGTTCTTCTTTATTCCATAGGGAGTTGTTATGCAAAATTTCATTGCCAAAGCTCAAAGAGTTCTCGAGATTTCGTGTGGAAACGAAAGCGTTACAGACAGACAGAAAGACGGACGGACGGACGGACAAACCCAAATTAATACCCCCCACTTTTCAAGCGGGGGACAAAAAAGAGAGAGAATTTTGCTCGTTTCTCTATTTTAACACTTCTTGTAAAAATGAAAGAGACCGATTTCTGCACAGAAGTTCGCAAACCTATCAATTTATTGAAAATTTTACGAAATGAAAAAAAGAGGAATACATGTACCTATATTTGAATTATTTTTGTAGATCGTATATCTTATTTGCTAAAAATTGCGGTAAATTGATTGGTATGTAAATTTCTGTAAGACACATATACTGGCGTAAGCAAGTAAATCACTGGCGGATTAAAGTACTACAGAAAAAAGGATGTCTCTTAGATTTAAAATCTGGCTGAGATTATAAACCTGAAATTACTGATACACGTTAGTATACACGTACAACTTGGATGCAAGATATTACCAACCCCATCTATAGATAAAATCAATCAAATGTGCAAAAAATTAATGTTTACTTCCTTTCATGACTCACAGTTCCGTATCCAGGACATAGTAAAAACAGTTACTCGAGCGTGACATCTAAAAATATTTCAAAATATTTACCACTCCTAGGTGGAATCTTGGCTGTCTCCCAACGATCTACGGACCAATCCTGTTATTACACGGGGGAATTACATCACCTAAAACATGGTGTACGGAGAGATTTTTGACCATTCCTTTTTCGGAATTACTCCGAAACGGACAAACAGGTATAGTTAATTTAATTTTAGTTCCGATGGCTTTGTATCATATAATATTTCCCTCGCTAGCATGAAAATATTAATACTGTATTGCAAAATTGTAATCGAGGAGATTTTTTAAATATTTTAAAACACTTTCACAACATATATACTGTTATAAACACATTCAACATACATATCTTTATAACCGAATTTGTTACCTTGATTAAATAGTTTGTACAATATAATCATCGAAGAGTTACGTCCCTTCCCATTCATAAATGTTCTTGGGACTCTCTCTCAATTTACATGAGTAAGTAGGTTCAATCGCTGACAAATATATTTGTTGTTCTTAAAAAATATATATACATGTAATTCGAAACCTAATTCGACTACTGTAGTATGTTGAGTAATAAATAATTATACAAATTATTATTACTTTGTTTCAGCCATGTCCGCTGTCCTGTTCATTTTATCTATGGCAGTTGTCACTGTCGCCGCTGGAAAACTTGTCAGCTATTGTGATGTTGACAAACAGGAGTTTTACGTTAAACAGTGGGGGCAGTGCAAGGCTTGTGATAGATGTCCAAGGGGTTACGGGCTGAATTCAAAGAGAGTAAGAAATTATTGTCACTTCGTGTACGTATTTATTCACTTGAAATATCATAGCCATAAGCCACAGATTTTTTTATCTATACGAATCACAGGCACTTGTTTCTGTAATAAATTTTTGACCCATAGTCACAGGTACTTGTTTCTGTAATAAATTTTTGACCCATAGTATGTGTTATTATTATACTATGGGTCAAAAATTTATTACAGAAACAAGTGCCTGTGATACGAATGAAACAAAGCGAATACAAAAGGCTCATGACTTGCGATGATGTTGCAACCAGTTGTTTCCACAAATCCTGATCGCAAGTAAATCATAGAATGGAAGTCATTCATTATAAGTCAACATCATTTTCGCCACTGATCAGGAAATATATGACTTGAATAAAACATTATAATTACTAACCTCAAACCTAAAATTGTACATATATATACTATAGAGATATTATGATACCTTTCATAGTAGGATGTTCCACCTCTGAAAAAATTATTCTTTATTCAAACGCTTGTTTACATAGTTTGCATCAATACTGATAATAAGAAAATGTCCTGCTATATTAATAGGATGTACGACTGGACCCAGTTTACGGAGCGCTCCACTGCAGAGGTTGTGTGAAATGCACCGCCGGTGAAACCTATAATTCTGAGATAGGATACGGGGAATGTCTCAGATGTACAAACTGTACGGCTTACCGAAGAACTGTCATAACAGAGTGTACAATAGAAACAGATACAATCTGCAGCAAGACTGTAATACAGGAGAATGGACTACTCCAGTGGGTATATTCCTGGAATATATTTGTGCAAAATTTAAATATAATGAATTTTTGTTTTAAAGATGACACTTTTGTTGATGGTAACGATTTATTATCACTAAATTACATTAAATTCAGGTCGTTCCAGAATAAGCGTGAATCCTCTTCTCAGGATCAAACTAACTCGGACCCAAAATCAGACACCGAGGACAATATCGGCAAACAAGACCTAGAAAATACAGGTACGAGACATAAATATAACACCCGGGAAATTTTAGATTATTGTACGTTTACATTCTTGTTAAATAATGCTATAAAGTAGCAGTGACAAAAAATAGCTACTTATCTTTTTTCTTCCAGATTTGAATCCTGTGCTGATGTGGTCTGGAGTTTTTGCAATAGCAATGTTTGTTCCTCTTTCAGTTATGATTTTCAGAAGAAATAGAGACAAAATAAATTGCTGGAAAAAAGGTAAATTACTATACAATATAATGGTGTATATGTATTCTTTTATGAGAGTGTTGTCATTGTTCTTATTAAAAGATCTAGCATGTAATGCATGTTTGAATATAAATACATGTATTTTTTCACAGACCTAGACATTTCTATAGATGCTCAAGAGCAAGAAAGCTTACATAAAAAGTAAGTGTTTAGTATTTATCAATCAAAAATACTGTGAAATCACAAATTTTCGTGGGAGTTTAATTTTCGTTGTTTTCGAGGCATGAAGAGACCCACGAATTAAAATCCACCACGAAATGTAAAATGTTGTACACATTCCTACTCAACAATTCTTCATCCACGAATTCAAATCCCCACAAGCCAAGAGTTTTTACTCAAACCACGAAAATTTGACCCCACGGAAATATGTGATTTTACAGTATTTTTATATATAGACAACAAATAGATACAATATAAACGTACATACATTACACCAGACCCACTGGTCGAATATGTACAGTATTTCTATAATCTACATGTAGTAGTTTTTTTCCCAAAAGCAGTCTTTCAAATGGAAAATTGCAGATCACCCCACCTTTGAATGGTTTCTCTTTATGATTCAAATAAAAAAATACACCTTTATACTCAGTTTTAAGGGAGGTTGCTTGAGGGTAAATGGGTAAGGCTCCTTTACAACACATTAAAACATAACTTACATTTTATTAAAGAGATACATCTGATGTTCCTACCACACTTGAATCTGTTGTGGAATCAGTCTCTTTAAAAACCGTGGAATCCAAAAAAGACTGCTCAGAAGAAACTAACAAGTCTCATAAACGACTATCAGTGATGTCTGATGACATGCCACCATTAGAGAGCAACTTCTATTACAGTTTGAGCAGTGACATCCACTTAAATGGAATGGATGCTAAAAATCCCCAAGTATAACAGAGTATGTAAATATTTTCATTATCATTTTAATTAAGTTCAAGATTTGAAACACGGGTTAAAATGTATGCTCTTTGTTTCATTGCTGAATTAAGTTGCTTATTTCTCAGAGATTTCAATTTTAGAGGAAGTAGATGTGAAGAAAAGAAGAATTTCCTTACGGACAAAGAAATGCAGGGTACACGATTCTGTGGTGACATTGCTTATATAGCATCCAGTACCTCCGACATGCCTAGAACTCCAGGATAAGGCGTAAGGAATGTGAAAGACAGAGGATCAAGGAAGGATAGTCAAATGATCTCAGGATGCAGTTTTTCAGTCTCGGAATAAAAGGGAAATTTGCTACGAAATCAGTTCTCCAAAAAGAGCTTTGAAAAGTTGAACATAACGTAACTTTTACAAATGATCCCTGAGTTTTGACTTTTCTGCCATGTTGAAATATTACCCACCCAGGTGATACTGACTGATTTAGCGTGAACAAGTTTGATATTCATAGGACGCTCGCATAAGATGGTCTTACCTTTGTAAACCAGGGTTTTAAAATGAATACATGTGATGAGGATTCAATTGATTAAAAGATAGTGATGTTTGAAAGAGTTCAACATGACTTCACGTTGTCCAGTTGCCCGGGAAACTATTACAAAAAGAGGAAACGTGATAAGATTGTGAACAGACAGTTGTTGATTTGTAGATGTAAAAAGTTATTTGAACATGTGGAAGAAAGGGAGGAATAAAATACACAAGCAGCACAATAATGGTTATTTTCTTTTCACTGTGTTTCACTGGTGTTTGACGTTAAAAATTTTAAAAATAATGCAAAATACGACGAGAAAAATTAGAGGAACTGTGAGCACCGAGCTCACAAAATGATACCTTCGCCTCCCATATATGCTAGATATCCGAAATAGGTGTCGGATCAAAAAGTAAAATATGAGGTCACAATGGCAATATATAAGTGAAAGTATCATTAAATTTTATTCAGTGGTATATGAGAAGTTGCTGATAGGACATAGGTACTATTCTGGATCAAAAAATAAAACTAGAGGAACTGTGAGCACTGAGCTCAATAAAACATACTCCCCGCCTCCCCTTAAATAATAATGGCAAAGTCCATGTTTTGCTCTGGGGGACGCGAAAACAAGTGTCACATCAGAAAGTTAAATAAGAGATGCAAAACTGCATAATGTACTAAAGAATCTGTGAAAGTATCATTAGATTTTATTCAGTGATAGAGGTTTGGTGATATAGGAGGAGTTGTAGATAAGAGATGGATACCCTTTAATAAAAAAGAATGGCACTGTTAATGTTTTGCTATGGAAAACCCGAAGTATGGGGTGCACAATGGCACTATGTAAAAAAGATACTATTAAAGTCTCATTCTAGTTCATATACTAGTATTGGTATAAGAGAAATTGCGGATAAGAGATGGGTATACCAAAGTCATTTCTATATTTTGCTATAGGTGACCCAGAACAAATAAAGATTCTGTGAAATTCTCATACAATTTTATTCAGTGGTATAGGAGGAGCTGCAGATAAGAGATAGGTACCAAAACGCGTAATGGACGGACATCACGATGTACCCTACCACTTTTCAATCGCGGGAATGATAAAGAACTAGATGTAATAGTATTGTAAGCAATGAAATCAAAATGATACCCATGTCTGGCATATTATTATAATGGCAAACTCCATGTTTTGCTATAAGGGACCTGATATAATTGTCAGATCAAAAAGTAAAACTGGATGACATTTTGGCAATATGTTAAAGTAAAATTATGTGGTGATTCATTTGCCTTTACAGATAAATAATACAATGTAGTAATTTTGCTGCTGTTCATAAATTTATTGGCGAGACATGTAGCTAGATTCTCTAAATGATGCATTATATTATATTATATCTATTTTTTCATGTATCAATTGTATTATTTTTTTTTCTTTTTGCATCACATATTGTTTTATATAAGGAGAGGAATTCACTAAGTTATTTAGAACTTGTTTCCAATCCTTTTGATTGATATCAATAAACTATATGTTCAAAACAAAGTCAAATTCATTAATTGGAATAGGAGGAGTGGCGGATAAGCGATGGGTACCTCTCATTATTAAAGAAAAAAATGGCTGTGTCAACGTTTTCCAATGAGAAACCCGAAGTATGTGTCCAATCAAAAAGATGATCAGGAGGTGCACAATGGCACAATATAACAAAGATTCTATGAAAGTCTCATTACAATTCATTCAGTGTTATAAGAGGAGTTGCGGATAAGCGATGGGTACCTCTCATTATTAAAGAAAAAAGGCCGTGACAATGTTACCCTAAATATGTGTCCGATCAAAAAGATGATTAGGAGGTGCACAATGTCACTATGTAACAAAGATTCTGCGAAAGTCTCATTACATTTCATTCAGTGGTATAAGAGGAATTGTTGATAAGAGATGGGTATACCAATGCCAACTTTGTTTTCCTTTTGGTGACCCGAAAAAAGTGTCCGATCAAAAAGTAAAATAAGAGGAGCACATGCAATGCCATAATGTAATGAAGAATCAGTTAAAGGATGATTAAATTCTATTCAGCTGTATAAAAGGAGTTGTGGATAAGACATGGGTACCCCAAAGCATAACAGACGGACATCCTCATTATTATGCCCCCTCCCCCAGTTTTTTTTTTCAAGCGTGGTATTAAAATGATGTTTTTCAATGAGGGGAAGAGATCTTTTGTAAATAGGTACATGTACCTTATTGTAACAAGTTTCACGCATACTTGCAAGGACAGTAATGCACTTAGAGCATTTTTGTTGTCAGTTATTCATTTTATTACAACTTTGAAGGGAAAAGTAATGAGTATAATACCCCCTATAAAAAGACCCCCCCCTAAAAATGCAATCTATAAGGTTCTTTTACTACTATAAGATTTACACGTGCTAAAAAGACATCTCAAATTTAAAAACTTCACGAGGGGTCCTCTTGATATGTGCGTCACAGGAATTAATCGTGTGACGGTTTCACTGTAGTCATGGTTTGTGGTTATCATGCAGTGTTACAACCCTTTTGTTTTAGCTACCCACCATTTACCACAGGTACTTGAGGACGGGGAGCATTCTTATTATGAAAAAAGATCAAACCCACGGTATTTTAAAGAAAATACTCTTTTTATACACCCTGCTTGAAACGTGGGAGAGTATATAGTGATCAGGATGTCTGTCCGTCTGTCTGTACATTTGTCCGTTAATCTTTGGGGTATCCATATCTTATCCGCAACTCCTCTTATACCACTGATTGAAATTTAACTTAATGATGAGACTTTTACAGAATCGTGTTCACATAATGCCACTGTGCACCTCCTATATTCTACTTTTGGATTGGACACACATTTCGGGTTTCCTATAGCAAAACATGGACACTGCCATTCTTTCTGTTATATTGAAGGGTACTCATCAATTATCCGCAACTTTCTCATACCACTTAATAACATTTACACAAGATTCTTTCATCAAGTCTTTATTAAATCGTAATCTTACATCTCCTATTTCACTTGTTGATCTGACACTTATTTCGGGTCTCATTACATTTCATTCAGTGGTATAAAAGGAGTTGTGGATAAGAGATGGCTACCCCAAAGCGTTACAGACGAGCAGACAGACACCCCTAATCACCAATACTCTGCCGCTTTTCAATCGGGTACATTATATCGATTCACTGCGCCCACGCTTACTCATAACCGATATCATTGATAGCATAAATATAGACACCGGTGTTGTGCAATATCATCGTATTTTCGAGAACAGATTTGTATTCGACCAATCCTATATCTACACGAGGGATTTCATCACCCAAAAACGATGGACGGAGGGAATGTGTTTATTCTCTGTTCAGTCGTTCTACGGGACGGACCTGACAGGTCAGTTAATTTCTTTTATTTATATACATGTATATATTTACCTGCATGTTTGTGATACATAACGAACAGTAGGATAAGCAGACTGATCTATGATAATAAAAATGCTCACAATTAAAACATATTCCATTTAAGAAAGTTTTTTATGTTCATGGTCAAGTTGCTTACTTAGACAACATTTTAATCATTGGACAGTTTGACCAAGTATCAACTACAACAGGCAGTGCAAGATTTAAATGTAAAGCATAGTCTACAATAAATTACTGTTAGGTTTCTTTACTATCAAGAGTTATATTTCTTTCATGCACATGACGGTGAGTCACATTATGTTTGACGTCAATGTATGTGAATAAAAAAAAATAAATGTATAGTATGAGACTATATAGAAAATAAAAGAATCGTTGGCAAGGTTTTGTCAAGAAAAGAAGTAAATTATACTTTAACAGTTTTTAATGGTTAGATTTTTTAAAGTTTGGTTTAAACAAAGTATTGTTAAACAGTAAGTTTTTTCTTCTCAATTTTTTTTAATTAATCTTTTTTTTTACTTTAGCAATGGCTCTTGTCCTCACCCTATTTACTTTGGCATTGGCTACTGTAACCACAGGAACAGATGTCTATTGTGATGTTGAGAACAACGAGTTTTATGTGGTGCAGTGGGGTCAGTGCAAATATTGTGACAGATGTCCGGGAGGATACGGACTGGATATACAGAGAGTAAGGGGGGTTACTTTCCTATCCAGAAACTTCCTCTATTGTTGTGTTGTAATTTATTAAACTACCATTGTGAAGGTAACATATATACATGTATTATACACACATCGTCTATATTAGACCATATTCAAAATAATGTTTGGTTTCCCTCTCACGACTCAGGGTGAAATTATTGGGTTGGTTGATAGGTGGGAAAATCTTTTTTCTTTAATTTCAACATATTTTTTCAACATTTGTTGATGGATAAGAGAAATTAAAAGAAAAATAAATGTCTTGTCCAGGAATGTTTAAGAAAGTTTTGAGTTGGGTCATTTTTAGTCAGTCGGTCGGGAGAGGGCAACCACACAATTTTTTTAAAGCTTGATAACCTTCAATTAAATAACTTTTTAGGTGTAAGTTTTTGAACATTGTAATTAAATTATTAACAATTTAATATTAATTATTTTTATCATTTCAGAATATAATTATTGACCCAGTTCACGGTGCTCTCGGTTGTAGAGGGTGTGTTAAATGTGTAGACGGTGAAACGTTTAGTTCTGTTATCGGGTATGAGCAATGCAAGAGTTGTACCGACTGTACGGAACAAGGTAAAAGTGTTGCAACACCCTGTTCAAGAGAAAGGGATACGGTCTGCAGCAGGAATATCTTACGTGTAACGAGGAAGAACCAGACTCCGTAAGATTCAATAATACTCTTCTAAAAGTTCATTTTACACAATTCATTGGTTTTTGCTTTTGAAACCCTAGCACTAATATATTTTTTTAGTTTGCTTCAAACAACACCAAAACCAGTTTTCCTCAACAATGGTGATGACAACAGGGGTGATCAGAACAAGGAATACTATACGGGTAAGTTTTTAATTGTTAGGAACGACACCTCCATTACAACCCCCCAAAAATAAAGTACCGGTATATAAAAAACTTTCTTTTTCTTCTTCAGATTTTAACCCTTTACTTACAACAGTTGGAGCTGTGGTGGGTTTTATCGTCGTTGTTCCATCAGCAGTGATACTCGTTATAATGAGGAAAAGATTAAATTGTCGTAAACGAGGTACTATTCAAATATCATTAATTTCTAAAATTAGTTTTTTACACGAATACTAGTAAATTTATATAGATATTCAACATTATTTTGAACGAAATATATTTTTTTTTTCAACAGATTCTTCTAAGTTTGAAGACCCCGAAGAACAAGACAGACTCAGTAAAAAGTATGTATCCATAATTATTATACTTACAAGTAGGTGTTCTTAAAAAAAAGTTGTATCATTCACATGTATTTCGAAAGTGTAAGGTATGTTAAAAAACCCATACCACTCAGACGTGTATTTTAATCATTAGAAATGTTGAGACTGATCCACCTACCTGCGAAAGCAAAATAGAAACAATCAACTCATCTGAATTGGATTGTGTAGCAAACCTTCTAACAGAAAGTGAACAGAATGAAAAGAACAAGGAAAGAAAACCACCTTCTGATGTTTCCATTGATTTCTCCGGGAATTTTTCTTATGATAATGATTTAGAGATAGACGCAGAGGAACAGAAATTAGACCCAAGTAAGTTATCAGGGCTTACGATTTAAAAATAAATATTTGAACTTTTTAAATATGTAAGCTGTTAATGCTTTTTAACATTGTAAATTGTATACCATTTATTTTTCAGGATGGAATGAAGTTCCCTCAGACAAAGAATTACAGGATATATGTCCTTCTATTGCCCATAGTAATATTTACGCCCGTCTTGGTCGAGAATTGGGAGTTGAGGACTGTGAAATAAAGAGAATCAAAGAGGAACAGCATGGCGATCTTCAAGAAACAGCATTTCAGACACTTAAGAAGTGGAGAGAACTGAATGGAAAATCAGCAACAAAGTCTAAACTTCAATGCGCACTCAAAAGAGTTGGAATGGGTAACATCTCTTTGATTGATGATCGATGATATGTATCTTTCTTGATTTGGTGAGATAAATACCTATCCAAGGTAAGGAAGCGTAGGTGTCCAGAGGGTTGCGCATCGTACATGTTCAGGTGGTTGCTGAAGACAGAATCTTCGCCCAAGCTCCAGATGCGAGGAACAAGTTCTTCAAGATGACGTACAGCGATTCAGCAAGGATGTTTTGTTCATGATGTGTAATAGGTCGCAGTGTACCTTACATAATATGATTGTATATATAACTTGAGAAAAAGGGAAATTTCATTGTTGCGTTTTTAAAAAATAATTTGTTACACAAGTATAACTTGTATATTGTCAAATTGTTTTTGTTTTGAATAAAAAGGTTACTGAATATACTTTTGTTATTCTGACGAATGTGTGTTTCAAGACTTTAGTTTCCTACAGGTTGAACTTATATGTGCTTTGATTGAACAACGAAAATTTTATG